ATACTAGTGCCTTCATTGTTTCACGAATGTAGGGTACGATGCTCCTACCACTCATACTCATGGCTAGTTGATTCTTCATAGGCTTTGAAGATAGGTGAGTCCTCATGTTCCGAGGACCGAGACTCTTTTATTGTTTTATGTCATTTTCGTTTCCAAACTTTGTAAGTGATGTATAGGTTATGTCCCAATCACTTTCCTTATGCTATATTAGATGGCTTTGAGACCTATGTTTAGACTTCCGCTTTTTCCAAACTCTTTTGTATGAAATGCTATGTTTTAAAGTCTTGAATTCTATTATCTTGAATGATGCATGCTAGTGGCTTGTGTAGGGCCTCTTGGGGTTTTATACGTCATGTTACGCCTAGAGTATACTTTGGGTCGTGATAAAATTATATTTGTATATTTTGTTGAAGTTGTTCTTGTTATTTTTGTATAACAGTACAAATATTTTTTTATTTACATCCAAGTTTTTTAAGATTTTCAATTGTAAATATACAATAAATTCATGTATATTTATCAATTAATTTTCTTGTTTAGATGTTTTATGATATTTTGAGATATTGATTTGTATAAATTATGAAAAAATCTATTTGTATAATTTCTGAAATTGTATATAGTTACTTTGTTCGTATATTTGACTAGTCACTATTTTTAATATAATACCAGCAAGTTTACGTTCCAATTATTATTTTTATAATATCAATATTGTTGAGGTATTTGTATAACTTGCTTTGTATATTATTTTTTTTGTGATTTGTAGTTAGATCAATACATTTCACATTATGTTTTATACGATTCTATGGATTTAGCGTATCAATGTTAATTGCGCTTTCTTACCTTGTTAGACTCTATTTGAATATTTTCAACAATTATATACAATTACTTTTTTGTATTTGTATATTATCAACAAGTTTATGTTTCAGCTATTTTATATATATTTGTATATTTATTAAGTCATTTTTTTGACATGATTATTTAGGAAGTTAAATTTATCTTTCTTTGTTTGACAAAAGTCAAATTTTATAAGAAATTCTAATCAGATACAATAACCATGATTTATGGGATTGTTTTCCTTTTTAATAACCTAAATTACCGCCTCATTAATTAAGTTAAGAGTCCAATTTATAGAAAAAAACAAACTCCCAGCGAGTTATACGATATCTACTGAAATTATAGCTATGTTATGTAATTAGGCAAACTATAGCAAATGAGACTCATTATGTTTTAACTCTTAGCTATTTATGAAATTTCCCTATTATAAAATCATACTACTAATTAATATGGTTGAGTTATAAATTAAATAGAGAGAAAACACATAAAGTGACACCTGAACTTGTCTCCAATTTTCAAAAAGACACCTTAACTATGCGAGCGTCCTATTACCTCACTAAGCAATCTTGAACTTATATTATTACGTCATTTTTGTCCACCTCACATAGAGAGTGTGTGCACTCTCTCAAAGAGAGTGAACAACCTAAAATAACTAATATAATTTTATTTTTACAAGTATTTTATTAAAAAATATATTTCTTATTTATCTTATTATTTTAACTTTTTTTCCTTTTTATTTTTTTCTCTTTCTTTCGTCTTTCTTCTTCAAATATTCATTGTCATCTCCATTGAAGCTTCTCACTTTCAATGTCACCATTTTTACCATAACTTCACCATTTTTTTTACTACTATTAGTTTTACTCTCTTTAATTTTAAAACTTTATCTAAATATTTTCTTACATTTCGAACAATTTGATAAACCCATTAGATTTTAAGATGATTAGGAAGTATCATATAGTTTTTTTATCCGATTTCAATTAAGTTCATTAATTTTTTCGGGAATTCATTGATTCTTGTAAAATTATCATTTCTAATTTTGAAGTTGTATGAAAAGGAGTAATTGATTATACCTTCAAAATTTTAAATTTTCTTAGAAAATTATTAGTTTTGTTATCAATAATTCAATAAAGTCTAGAAAATAGTATGAATTCGTTTTTATAAAAAAAAATCACTGAAATAAAGAATTTGACTGGAGAAGAACAAGAAAAAAAATAAAAAATATGGGAGAGAGGTTCAACTTGACGTGGGGGGTGGGGTGAGGGTGACAGGTGAAGAAAAGGAAAGAAAATGAAGGGATGGATCACTTGAAAGTGGGGGGGGGGGGGGGAGGGGGAGAGAGAGAGAGAGAGAGAGAGAGAGAGAGAGAGAGAGAGAGAGAGAGAGAGAGAGAGAGAGAGAGAGAGAGAGAGAGAGAGAGAGAGAGAGAAAGAAAAAACGTAAAATGAAAAAAAATTACATTTTTAATTAAATTAACATGTGTCATGTAATGATTGTTGTGTGAACACACTTGCTTCTTAAAATATGGGGCTGATCGAAAAATGTTATTATAATATCTGTTCAAAATTGTTTAGTGGGGTAATAGGACGATTGCAAAGTTAAGGTGTCTTTTTGAAAATTCGGGACAACTTCAGTGGTGACTTTATGTCTTTTCTATTAAATAGAAAATGTGTAGTTAGTTAATATTTAGTGATAAACATCTTTGTAGTCAATAATCAGGAAGAACTTTTTCTCTTATCCTGATAAGTAATTTTATAGATTCATCAACAAACTTTGAATGAAACTGCACATACCATAAGATCTTTAGGTAATTATGATTGAGGAAATGTGTTTTCTTCCCTAATGGCTTTCTAATAAACAATCATGGATCAAATGATTAAAATTCTCCAATTGATAAAATAATAAAAATCTTATAATCAAGCAAATAAGATAATATCTTTCTTCCCTAATGGCTTTCTAATAAACAATCATGGATCAAATGATTAAAATTCTCCAATTGATAAAATAATAAAAATCTTATAATCAAGCAAATAAGATAATATCTTTCTTCCCTAATGGCTTTCTAATAAACAATCATGGATCAAATAATTTAAATTCACTAATTGATTAAACAATAAAAAAACTTAATATAATCAAGTAAATAAGATAATAGTTTTAAATTATTTTTTTCCGCACATCGCGCGGGTACGTGTATTAGTAGTATCTACAATCACAAGACTTAACTCTCCTCAAGTTTTGTTTTCTTCCTTACAAATTAAGAAGTTTGATCCACAATTGAAGCAAGAGAAGAAATACTAGGAGAAGAATTAGTCAAATCATTGATTTCTTACATCTTAATAACTGAAACAAAATCTCACCAAATAATTTTTCTTGAACATTTTACTATGCAAACAACATTCCTATTTTTGCCCCCTTATCATTTTGATTAATGGGTGCTACAGAAGGAGATGAAAACAGTCATGAATACATGACAAAGATCAAAAGGAAAGAACTTGGAATATCTTGTACATTGAACACAGAGGTAGGAGCTGTTTTAGCCGTGATTCGTCGTTCCCCTGAAGGAAATTTGCATTTCTATCATCCCCCTGAAGAAAACTATGATTCACAAATATCACATTCATTGAAATCACTAAGATCACTCATCTTTAATCCACAACAAGAATGGTTAACAATAGATCCTATGATATACCTTTCGCCTTTTCTTGATGTCGTACAAAGTGATGATGTTCCTTCTGCAGCAACAGGAGTCGCTTTATCATCTATCCTTAAGATCCTCAAGCTTGAAATTTTTTATCACAAAAGTCCAGGAGCAAGAGAAGCTATTAATTCAGCAGTCACTGCTGTTACCGGTTGTCGTTTGGAAAAAACTGATCCTGTTTCTGAAGATGCTGTTATGATGAAAATTTTGCAGGCTTTGACAGCAATTATGAGCCATCCTTCTTCTGTTTTGCTCACGGATCAATCTGTTTGCACTGTTGTGAACACATGTTTTCAAGTAGTTCAGCAGTCAGCTAACCGGAGTGATTTGCTTCAGCGTAGTGCTAGATATACAATGCATGAGCTGATACATGTAGTATATCAGAGTTTGCCTGAAATAGAGGTGAAAGATTGGGAAGATTCGGAGTCAGATACCGAGGATGGGAACTTGGATTCGGGGTATGGGATTCGTTCTGCTGTTGATATATTTCATTTCTTGTGCTCGTTGCTCAACGTAGTTGAAGTCATGGAGACTGATGGAAGTACATCTCAAACTTCTGATGAAAATGTTCAGCTTTTCGCTTTGGTTTTGATCAATTCTGCTATAGAATTAAGTGGTGATAGCATCGGTAAGCATCCAAAGCTCTTGAGAATGATTCAAGATGACCTTTTCCATCATTTGGTTCATTATGGAACGTCCTCGAATCCACTTGTATCCTCCATGATTTGCAGCATTGTGTTAAATATTTATCACTTTCTTCGCAGGTAAGTAGTTCAGAGGCCAAGATTGTTTCCTAAGTGTTAACTAATACATGTTGAATGCCAAAATTGATTACATTTTATCTTCTTCTGATCATATTCAGGTCGGTTCGTCTTCAATTGGAAGCTTTTTTCTCATTTGTGTTGCTTAAAGTGGCAAGCTTAGCGAATTCGCTTCAACTTCAAGAAGTAGCAATTGAAGGAATAATAAATTTTTGCAGACAACCAAGTTTCATAGTTGAAGTCTATGTAAATTATGATTGTCATCCCATGTTCAAAAATGTTTTCGAGGAGATTGGAAAGTCTCTTTGCAGGCATGCATTTCCTACTGGTGGCTGTTTGACAAGTTTACAAGTTCAAGCCTTTGAAGGACTAGCAGTGATTATCCATAACATAGCTGATAACGTTGACAAGGAAGATGATTCGACACCTTCTGGACCGTATCCTGTTGAGATATCCGAGTATAGACAATTCTGGGAAGAGAAGCCGAAAGAAGATGAAGAAGACTTAGAGAATTGGATAGACTTTATTAGAGTGAGAATTGCACAGAAAAGAAAGATACTTATAGCTGGGAATCACTTCAGTAGAGATGAAAAGAAGGGACTGGAGTACTTGAAACTTTCCCTGTTGATCCCTGATCCTCCTGATCCGAAAGCCTATGCCATGTTTTTTCGGTATACACCAGGTCTAAACAAGATTGCAATTGGTGATTTTCTTGGTGATCCTGATGATTTCTACCTCCAAGTCCTTAAAGAATTCACGGAAACATTTGAGTTTATGGGAATGGTTCTGGATACTGCTTTGAGAACTTATCTAGAGACTTTTAGATTGCCTGGGGAGTCGCAGAAAATTCAAAGAATACTTGAAGCATTTGCTGAAAGGTTTTTTGATCAGCAATCCTCGGAAATATTTGCGAGCAAAGATGCAGTGTTCATCCTTTGTTATTCAGTAATCATGCTTAACACTGATCAGCATAATCCACAAGTGAAGAAGAAAATGACAGAAGATGAATTTATTAGAAACAATAGAGCAATTAATGGAGGACAAGATCTTCCGAGGGAATATCTCTCGGAGCTTTTCCATTCCATTTCAGTCAATGCAATCACATTGTTTGGTTCATCTGGTGCTCCTGTGGAGATGAATCCTAGCAGATGGATTCAGCTAATCAATAAATCAAAGAAGATGAAACCTTTCATATTCAGCAATTTTGATCGACGACTAGGACGAGACATGTTTGCCTCTATTGCTGGTCCAACTGTTGCTACACTTGCAACGATCTTCGAACAGTCTGACGAAGAAGAGATCCTTCATGAATGTGTTGAGGCTTTGTTTTCAATTACTCGAATAACACAATACGGGCTTGAGGATACTCTCGACGAGCTTCTCTGTTCATTCTGCAAATTTACTACATTACTAAATCCTTATGCATCTTCAGAAGAAACGTTGTATGCATTCAGCAATGATATGAAGCCAAGAATGGCAACTCTAGCAGTTTTCACCATTGCAAATGACTTCAAAAAGTCCATCAGGGGAGCTTGGAGAACCATTGTGGACTGTTTGCTGAAACTAAGAAAGTTAAAGCTGCTTCCACAATCTGTTGTTGAACCTGAAAATGCTTCAAACTCATCATCCAACCCTCCAGGAGTACATGAAAGATGTGCATCAGGGGTGGTTTTTCCTACTCAAGATGTTAAATTTGGCAGCAAAGTGCATAATTCCGGCATAATTGGACGATTTTCACATTTTTTGTCCATGGAAAGTGTAGAAGAATCCTTGAACCTGGGGGTAAGTGAATTTGAACAGAATCTGAAAGTTATTCAGCAGTGCCGCATAGGGAGCATCTTTAGCAATAGCTCGAGTTTACCTGATGAACCGTTGCTGAATCTAGGCCGTTGTCTGATATTTGCTGCAGCTGGTAAAGGCCAAAAGTTCAGCACCCCAATTGAAGAGGAAGAAACTGTTGGCTTCTGTTGGGATTTAATTGTTAGCATTGCTTCATCCAATACTCACAGACTCTTGGTCTTTTGGCCTCATTACAATGAATATCTACTTGATGTTGCACAGTTTCCCTTATTTTCTCCCATCCCATTTGCGGAAAAGGGTATCATCGCCCTTATGAAGATTTGTCTCAAGCTCTTGTCTTCCTTTCACTCAGACAAAAGTCCAGAGGAACTCATGTTTAAATCAATAAATTTGATGTGGAAGCTGGAAAAAGAAATTCTTGATACTTGTTGTGACTTCTTAGTACAGTCTGTCACCACAATCCTCACTGAGTATCCTGCGAATCTCCAATCTCAACTAGGATGGAAAACAGTCATGCATTTGCTATCCGTCACAGGGCGACATCCAGAAACCTATGAGCAAGGAGTTGAGGCCCTTATAAATTTAATGTCAGATGGTTTCCACATTTCAAGATTGAACTACCCTTATTGTATAGATTGTGCATTTGGTTTTGTCGCATTGAAAAACAGCCCTTTAGAAAAGAACATGAAGATCATGGATTTGATGTCAGATACTGTGAATTTGTTAGTTCAGTGGTATAAAAGTGGATATACAGATCCAGGGAGCTCGACGAGTATAAATAGTAGTGCAAGCAGTTGTTCTCTTGAAGAAAGTTTAAAAGCTCTTAGCTCTTCTAACTTAACAGTCACCTATTTTGCTAAACTAGGGGAAGCATTCAGAAAGACTAGCTTAGCCAGAAGAGAAGAGATAAGAAACCACGCGGTCATGTCTTTACAGAAAAGTTTTGCACTTGGCGAAGAGTTATACTTTACACCAGCCAACATTCTTAGCTGTTTCAACCTCATACTCTTTGCAATGGTTGATGATTTGCATGAGAAGATGTTGGAATACTCTAAAAGGGGTAATGCAGAAAGGGAAGCAAGAAGTATGGAAGGAACTCTTAAGCTATCGATGGAGGTTCTAACAGAAGTTTATTTACAATTCTTGAAACCATTATCAGAAAGTCCTAGTTTTAGGGCCTTTTGGATGGGAATCTTGAGAAGAATGGATACATGCATGAAGGCTGATTTAGGAGATTGTGGTGAGTCAAAACTTCCACATACTATCCCAGTCTTGTTGAAAAAAATGGTTATCACAATGAAGCAAAAGGAGATTTTAGTTCCTGGAGATGATGAAGACTTGTGGGAAATGACACATGTTCAGATACAATGGATTGCTCCATCACTTACAGAAGAACTATTTTCAGATGTTTGATCATACTATTTATTCTGTCTCACACTAAAAAATTAACATAGATTAGTTGTAAAGCATTTCTTTTTTTAATTAAAAAAAAATTATTAGTAAGCAATTCTATAGTTTGAGGTTACAGTATATAGGAGAAAAAAAACACACATGAGTTTCTTCTTTTGTTTTGACATACAACCATTTGAAATGAAGTTGTAAGTTTACCCTCTCTCACACTTCCTTCCTTTCTGATAATGAAATGTTTTATCTTTGCATAATGAATGGTTTCTTATGAGTGTATAAGATTTGCAGCTTCATATTTTATTTGACGCCCATAGTTCCGTTAAGAACAAAGTGAAATTACATTATACCAACAGCAAAAACTTTGTTAACAAATAAAGCAAGCAAATACCCTTAAAATCATCAGTCTAACTCAAAATAAACGTGTACAATACAGAAAAGATTAACAGGGTCTCCAAAAACCAATCTCAATTGGATCTTTTTTTATGTTAAAGGCACTAGCATCAAGTAAAATATGGTGCCATGATATCTTGTTTATGAGAAGTCAAAATGTAAGAACAAGAGATCTAAAATTGTAAAGGCTTCCCTGTTCTTGATTTTCACTTCCACGAGGCAATTCTCCCCAACAACAACAACATATCAGGTGAAATCCACAAGTGAGGTCTGGGGAGGGTTGAGAGTACACAGGCCTTACCACTACATCGTGGAGATAGAGGAGGCAATTATCCCCATCAACAAATAATCTAAACAAAACGAATCAGCTGGATATTTTGTGCATATACATGAGGGGCTAATCTACATGTATATTCATGTTGATGAAACCGTTGAGATTTCTACCAAAATTCGGTGTAAGGCTTGAGGCTTTGAGAAAAAAGGTGAGTGATCAGCACTCTGGTGGATTTTGGCTAACCATGTACTGTTGTAAAGCTATTGGTATAGCACTATCTTCTGTTGTTTCTATGTAAAACCGTCTGATGGAACCATACTTGATGTCAGACAAAGAAAGCTTCTCAAGGACTGGGGAGAATGGAATTGGCCTCATTGAAACAGAAGCTAATGCGACGTTGTTATCACTCCATAGTTATCCAATAGTTACTGCAGTAATTTCTCTTTAGTAGCAGTTATTTTCCTGTAATAGTGCAGTCTTTCATTTCAGTTAAGTTAGGAAGTCATGTCCTAGTTTCTAGGGGTAGTTAATTTATAAGAATTGTATTTAAACTATCTGGTGTATGAAAAAAAGGAAGCAGAAAATTATTCAAGTCTTTGAGTACTTCAAACTCAAGAGATTGCAGGTTCTCTCTTAACGAACCAGCACCATAGGTAGAAAAAAGAAAACTTCAGAATTTATCTTGCAGCGTCCCATAACTAGATCCATAACCGGGGACCATAACAACTTGGTATCAGAGCTGGATGTTATGGGAGATCAAATTCAACATCAACTAGCACAATTGGTGAATTTATTTCAAGAAGAACGTGCAGCCAATATAGCGAGACAGGAAGCAATAAATGCTCGCTTAGATGCACTCACAAAGGATCTAGCGAATTCAAAGGTTGATTCTGAATCAACTGATCATACCAGTCAGAATCGGGGCTGGAAGGGTAAAAGTGGAGTGGCAGAAGGGTCAAAATCAGATGCAGGAGGAAGTTCCTTCATTCCTAGGTATACAAAGTTGGATTTTCCACGGTTTACTGGCCAAGGGGACCCGTTGGGATGGCTGAACAGATGTGATCACTTTTTTCGACACCAACAAACTCCAGATGAAGAAAAAGTTAGTCTTGCTTCTTTTCATTTAGAGGGGAATGCACAACTTTGGTTTCTTCAACTAGAGACAGATCTGCCTGAACCGTCTTGGGATGAGTTCAAACGTTATTGTAACCTTCGTTTTGGGCCACCAATCAGAAGTCAGAAGTTAGGAGAGTTGGCTAAGTTGCACCAGATTGGATCCGTGGCAGATTACCAAGAAAAGTTTGAGCAATTAATTTCGCGGGCTGGTACACTCACACAGTCACAAAAAATTGAACTTTATATCAGTGGTCTTGCTGATTATATAGCAATTGAGGTTGAGTTGCATAATCCTCCAGATTTGGCTACAACGATGAGTTTATCCCGGCTTTATGAACGCAAGGAACAATCTGTTTATTCGCAATCGTTAGATGCTTGCAAATCCAAGACAGCAGATTTCTCACCTCAACAACATGCCAGATTTGTGAAGAAACTAACCAGACCTGAAATGGAGGAAAGGCGACTTAAGGGACTTTGTTTCAATTGTGATGAACCATTCACTCGAGGTCATCAATGCAAGAAATTATTCTGGATTGACTTTATAGACGATGAGGAAGAGTTTGTTGGAAAGGAAGGAAATACTAATTTCCGCACTTAGCGCTTGAGGACAAGCGCGATTTGAAGGAGGAGAGTAATGTTATCACTCCATAGTTATCCAATAGTTACTGCAGTAATTTCTCTTTAGTAGCAGTTATTTTCCTGTAATAGTGCAGTCTTTCATTTCAGTTAAGTTAGGAAGTCATGTCCTAGTTTCTAGGGGTAGTTATTTTATAAGAATTGTATTTAAACTATCTGGTGTATGAAAAAAAGGAAGCAGAAAATTATTCAAGTCTTTGAGTACTTCAAACTCAAGAGATTGCAGGTTCTCTCTTAACGAACCAGCACCATAGGTAGAAAAAAGAAAACTTCAGAATTTATCTTGCAGCGTCCCATAACTAGATCCATAACCGGGGACCATAACAACTTGGTATCAGAGCCGGATGTTATGGGAGATCAAATTCAACATCAACTAGCACAATTGGTGAATTTATTTCAAGAAGAACGTGCAGCCAATATAGCGAGACAGGAAGCAATAAATGCTCGCTTAGATGCACTCACAAAGGATCTAGCGAATTCAAAGGTTGATTCTGAATCAACTGATCATACCAGTCAGAATCGGGGCTGGAAGGGTAAAAGTGGAGTGGCAGAAGGGTCAAAATCAGATGCAGGAGGAAGTTCCTTCATTCCTAGGTATACAAAGTTGGATTTTCCACGGTTTACTGGCCAAGGGGACCCGTTGGGATGGCTGAACAGATGTGATCACTTTTTTCGACACCAACAAACTCCAGATGAAGAAAAAGTTAGTCTTGCTTCTTTTCATTTAGAGGGGAATGCACAACTTTGGTTTCTTCAACTAGAGACAGATCTGCCTGAACCGTCTTGGGATGAGTTCAAACGTTATTGTAACCTTCGTTTTGGGCCACCAATCAGAAGTCAGAAGTTAGGAGAGTTGGCTAAGTTGCACCAGATTGGATCCGTGGCAGATTACCAAGAAAAGTTTGAGCAATTAATTTCGCGGGCTGGTACACTCACACAGTCACAAAAAATTGAACTTTATATCAGTGGTCTTGCTGATTATATAGCAATTGAGGTTGAGTTGCATAATCCTCCAGATTTGGCTACAACGATGAGTTTATCCCGGCTTTATGAAAACCAGCACCATAGGTAGAAAAAAGAAAACTTCAGAATTTATCTTGCAGCGTCCCATAACTAGATCCATAACCGGGGACCATAACAGACGTCCTGAAAATAAGATACATTAATAAAAGTAAAAATATTCAACATCAAATTTAACAAATATATACAGCATAACATACCTTAGCAGGACTATGGTTGAATAATAAGTCTTTCATGAGTGATTTGTCCAGATCAATGGCAGTTGGTGGCTTGTCATTCCCATTTGCATAGATAAATATTTGAGACTGTCTCGTAAGGTCATTTGACTTCGTCTGAAATAGTTATGAGTTTTTCATTAACCACAAATAAACTTCTATTTTACAATGACACAGCTATCTGCCCCGAAAAAACACATGATACTTTAACTACACATAATTGAAGAGAGGGAAAACAACAATGCAACTATAGCTATATATCTTGAGCGGAATGACATTATTCCACCCCGTGTTATATGGTACATGGAATGCAGGATAAGAAGGAAATGAAGAGTTAATGCATGGATCTTCATGTATGGATTGAGGCATCGATGTCTTCACTGGCAAGCCTCTGATGCTGCTAGCATCAAGGTAATGCACAAAAAAATGAGATTCACTTTATAAGTTGGAGTACCAACACTCAGCTGATTGCTAATTGTCTTTCAGAGGATTAGTGAATCAGTTCTTATTAAGTATTTTAGAAAATAAGCTTTTGTATTCGAGAAATACATGCCCCAAATACTCAGAAGATAAAACCAATATAATTCTAGCAAGGCACTCAATGCATAAAACTATGATCAGGGCTTAAGTGTCACATTACTAACCATATGCATATTGTGTGCAATTCAAGGCAGAATATATGATATAACTTTACAAGAAAGAAGTATAGAATGGGTATATGAGTGAAGAATCAAATGAAGCATTAGATAAATTTACCTTTTCTGAGAAGATATCAAGAGCACGTTGTCCACTAGTGAGCATTGTTGCAGCAACAAATATAGCTTTTGAAACATTAGAGGGATAGAGCTCGAATGATATGCAAGCATCACCAAAATCACCTACATGGTTGAAGAAAGATTACAAAATTTAAAGACACTAGCAGAGGAAAAGTGGATAACAGATGCATGTTTCAAACTCCAGGAACTGTTGAAAAATTTCAGCATATATATAAGTATGACGAAATTAGATAAAAGCCTCAGCAATGACGCTAATTGCACTAAATTGTGAAGAAGAAAAAAAAGATCCAATCCCCCATAATATTACTAAGCAACTTCACCAAAACTCCCTTAGGCAAAAATTAATTTACACCGCATATATAAGTTATTTTTTAAAATTTTAGTGTGTATATTTATTTTGAACCCCCTAAACACAAGACCAGAGGTTGGCTCAGTGGTTTAGGGGTTTCAAAATTCACCGAGAGGTTAAGAAAAAAATGTGATCTTTGTTGTATAATAGAATAATTGTTGGGTTTTAAAGGTGTGATCATGTCTGTGTGTGTGATTCGTTGCTGTCATTTTGAGTTCGTTGAAATTATT